CCTGAGCACATGTTTCTTAAAAGACAGACTGTGGCTTTGTCATGTTTGTCGAAGGCAAATCATTAGATAGCTCACATACTTCAAACACTGCTCAGCAAACAGACACCTTGCATCGGCAGGGCTCACCTGAAGGGTGTTTGTGAAGAAATCGTGGTAGAACATTGGCCAGTCTTGACGACCAATATCCACGATGACTTTGCAGAGTTTGTTACGGATGAAATACGGCACGGACTTGTGTTGAGCAAGTAGGAGTTTGGGAAGACAGCTGCGAATCTCCATCTTGTCTTGTGAAGCCAATCCAATCCACATTTTGTTCACCAGATTCTGAAAATGCAAAGCAACAATTATACAAAACGATGCAAAAGAAGAGAATGTAATATTGCTAGCAATGTCTTTTCAACAAACACTGCTGTTGAATTGAACAACGTTCAACAACGTGCAGTCATTTTTTATTTTAAGGTCAAAAATAGCAGAGAAACTGGAGGCTCCCACTATTTTCTGTTAAGCTTCAAAACTATGCATTTTAATTGAATAAAAAGGTAGAAAATTGGCCAAAATAGCAGTACTTGGCTAATTTGAAATTTACTAAAGTGGCACTTGCTATAAAATGCTTGAGAACTGCAGCAAAAACTGTGCAAGAATCTGCAAAATCCCTCCTGAGATGAGATGCAAACCAAAATGAGAAAATGTTTATTTTTTTCATAGGTGGGTAAAAATCCACAAAAATCATCAATGGATCACAGTATATCATCCAAATGAATAAAGCAACACTTTTCTGTTAAAACCATCTTCTTTCTAAAACACGTAAAGGGAAGAAAACTCTAGAAAGAACTTTGATCTTCCACCTCTTGTACTTACTTCAAATACTGTGAGACTGTACATCATTACGTACTCATTCCGAGTATTGGAGAGGAAGAACAAGCAGTGGCGCCATGCTCCACTCTGCTGTGCAAAGTTATTCAACAGCTCTTCTGCAGAAAAAAAAAGGAAGTAAACGTGAGATCTTAGAGAGGTAGATGACTTTGTAGTGCTTTACCGAGAGACAAACTGAAAGGAACATGTTGCAACACAGGAAATGTTAAACATCATATAAAAAGGGCAGCAAATAAATCACTCAAAATGAATATTAAGGCATCATTTGACATTCAGTTTCTGTAAAACGTTGCTTTTAGGGTTTCGGAGTTTTGAAAGACTAATATATGCTGTACGAAATAGTCCAACGTCGTAAAACTTTACCTGATAGTTACATGAACTGAGGCTTCTTGTCTTTAAATAAAGCAATAAAACATTACTTATAAACCTAATTCATTGTTTAATGTCTCACGAGGGATGTTGGCTTTATTCAACGATAAACATAAGAGTTACCGACAGGAAATGAGTAGGAGGGATCTATGTGCACCAACGGTTCTCATGGCCTACATTTGAACTACAGGCAACATGACTGACAATCTAAATGGGATATATCCTACATACAGGCTTGTTTTTTAAAGAATGCAGCAAATTTTACTTACAACACCTAAACTTAGCAAAAGCATGACTAATGGTGAGATTATCTGGAACCTGTATGGACACAGTAAACATCTTGAGAGTGTAAATTATTTTTGATAAACTACGGTAGATACTGGGAAAAATTAAGATTTCCTGATGATCATGTTCAACTTGCATTCAAATGTTCAAACTCATTTTCAGTTTCTAAAACTAATTATTAGTTAGTTTCACTGCTCCTTGTAAAACCTACTCAGCTACTCAAAAGCAATTACTGGTAAAATCATGAGCAGTAATTGTAACTCAGAAGAACTGATTAAAACTGTTAAGTGTGACAGTAAGACTAAAAGCTGCTTTATGTTCTTTCTACTGACCACATTTGACCAACAAAGAACTTTTTGGTATAAAGTGTCACATGCTTCTTTTATCGAGAGAACGAACCCACATTAGCAGAGTATGACATTTTTCATGTCAAAATGTGCATTTTTTTCCTTAATACTAAAACTCAAGTTCCATAGTTTTTCTGACTGAGTCAAAACTAGAGATGAGAGTGACTTTGAATTTTATCACAGTACTTTGTTGTATTTATTGGACTGTTGATAAGACTAACCACAAAAGTTACATTTAGTAGCACACCTGCTAATAAATAATAGACTAGATCAATTCTGTCTTAAAAATGCCCACTGAGCATTTAAGTGAAAGCGGAAAAATAATTTAGTCAGTAAAATCCTAAGAATAACAGTTTTAGGGATTAGTAAACATAATTTAGTTTGTTCTTATTCTTAAATGGATTACACATTTTTACCACATTTTTACCACATTTTTAATCTGATAATTGCCCATCTCACCTAGGAGCCTTTCACTAAACCATGAATGAATCTGTTACATTTCTCTATAAATTTGAACGTACCTATTTCCCGTTTCCGCTCATTGGTGGTGCAGCTATGAAAGAACTCTGTCATCAGATTCTCCAACGCACGCAGCGATGATTCATCCGAAGCCTGAGACGATAAAAGTAAAGTGTGCATTCAGTCAATAAATTAATCTGAAGAGTTTGCGAAAGGAATGGGTAAACAAAAGATAAAATCTGCACTCATGCCAGACAAGCTTTTCCATGAAAGAGTTTCTATATATACACATACAACAAAAATCTTCAAACTAAAAATGATCAAACTATATTTTGTGCACAATATTAAACAGAAACATTTATTTGTCCGTTTCTTTTTAGGTAATTTGTCAAACAAAACGCACATGAATCAAGGGCTCAGAGGAGCCATTTAGTGAGATTGAAACCTAACTTCATCTGCATGTCCAGGCATGGAAACCTAATTGTCTTCCTCTCTACTATGTCTGTTTTTATACAATAGAACTAGAACTTTTTTACTCAGTCCTGTTGATCGAAGACGTAACGTTGCTTTCTTGTTTTCTGCTGCAGCAGAAGCTAGGCCCCGTCTTGTAAAGAGCCGTCCACCTGGCAGGCAGGTTTGAATTCCTCAAATAAGCCACAACTTGCCGAGGCTAAACACTACGCAAAGCAAATATTTTTGCAAGACGGGCGTCTCGCACAGTGGAACGGCTCAAAGAGCTGTCAGAAGTGCCTGGCCTCAAACTGTTAGATGGCACAACCACCACAGAGGTTCGTGGGATATTCAATCAGGCTGTAACGAAATTATTCAAGCTAAACAGCCGTTTCGGTTCACACTTCAAACGATCTTTGCAAAGACACCAAACAGGACGACAGAAATAGACAAATAACGCACATGAATCTGTACTCACCATGTTAGCCTGACTCAGATGCGTCCTTCAGTTTATTCAGTCGCTGATCAGTTGACCGTAATAGGCCAACATTAGTACGTTGCTCGTAAATTCTATGCTAACACAGGCTAAGGTGTTTCTGGCTAACGCAACCGCACACCGTATTTATCATGGTGCACAACTGCTGGGTTGGTGCTCTGCACACAGCGATGGCCAAAAATAGTTGCCGTTTTACTTAAAATAACGACCACAGCGCGACCGGTATATTTACCGTTCCGTAATAAAACCTTGCAAGTTAAAACAGTTTGAACGTTGACGAGTCTGTCTCAAAATTAAAAGTTAGCTGCATTCTCGTAGATCGCCATTTACCGTTAGTTTTACAAACCGAACAACCATTTGTCGAAAACAGAACCACATTTGCCTCTTTCGATCCCACTGAAGTTGCAAAACATTAATTAGCGTTCAAAGTCTGCCATTTCGTCGCCTAATTACCCAGTTGCTACCGCTGCAGCGGATGCGGCTAAAGCTGTTAGCTTTTCTAGAAGGCTGGAGGCATCATTTTTGTTAGCTTAAATGTCAACCGCAGGCATGGTTCCGTGGCCGTTGATCACGACGAATTCTCTTTACGATTTATTATTTCGGCTCAAATTAATATTCATATCGAACACTTGTCTTACAATCGTGCAATTACAAATCGAATGTCTCCACACACGTCTGTTCCTGTTATTTCCTTTTTCAAAGCTTAGGGCGGCTAGCGTCAGGTTAGTCTGCCTCACAACTTCCTCTTTTGACATAACCAACCCAATCAGCTCCTGTCAAGTCACAAAGGGTGAGAAACGTAATCCGGTTTTATTTTTCAAACTATACAGTCTATTTGAAAACGTACATGTTTTGAGTGCAAGCAATATCACAGCAATATTATTATATAAGGAGATAAATTACTCCTTATTTATGGTGACGATAAAGCTCTCAAACTGGGCCATGTCGGCTTCTGTAGAAAAAAATATTGTTTGATTAGATGTAAATCTAAGTCAGAATTTTAGAAAGCACTTAAAATTAAAATGTACTTAGATTACATATAATTGTTTAAAAACAAGAAAACCTTTGAGTTTTTATGTTTCAACATAACAATTTTGACAATAAAAAAATGTGCAAATATATATGCAAAGGTTTTTATTGTTTGCCTTTCATACCCATATAATTTACTTTTAAACCCATAAATTGCTATTGTGACCTTTACACTAAAATTTTTTGTGCTATCATTTTAATCAGACAAATATCTTGTCAATTAAATTTTACTCATTGCAAATCAGTTCAGTTTGTAAATATTATCAAAATACAGGCAGATTTTAATTTCATATCATACAGTGTAATTGGATCCCAGTTTGATTATACAATGCCAATTAGTAAAAAGTTATCAACGGATGTCCAACAAGCAACTCACTGTGCAGGACCTGCATCTCCATTTAACAGGAAGGAAAATTAAATTTTAAATATGTTGTAACTTTTATTTTGAAAACTAAAAATTGAATGAAAAAATTCACACACAAAAAAAAAAACAAAAACAACAAAACAAAACAGAAGATCTGACCTGTGGTGACTTGTGTAACTTGATATGTAAGTTATGTTTACTTTGGGGGAAAAAAGACAGTGGTTTAAATAGTTGACTACCTGACTTGGGAGTCACACAAATAATCTTAAATACTGAGTGGGAAACACTTAGCTGATGTCAAAATAGATAAACTGAGTCAACACAGACATTCTACATGAATTTGCAATTTATTAGCCATAGAAAGATAATAGCAATACTTTTTATTTATAGCTTAGGAAAAAATAAATACAGTATGTTTAATAAATAAGGTTATCTCTGTCAGAAAAAAATACACAAAAGATAAATAAGGTTATCTCTGTCAGAAAAAAATACACAAAAGGCAAGTGTGTGATACATAAAAACACATTAAAGCTAAAAATAAAAATGCACCACTGTGAACTTTATTTGTTCATAAAAATAAGAATCTGAATAAACTTGTCAGGTTTGTTGATTCAAACAAGACATTTAACTTGGTTTCCATTGCTTTATAATCAAAATATGATCTCAACGTATGATTCTTATCTACATTGTAAGTCACAACACAGCACCGTTAATCATCAGTTTTCACTGATGATTAACAACGACTTATAGGACACTTAAAAGATCTTTTTTTAATATGTGCAGGTAAAAAATGCAAGTGCATCAGCTTTTGTTTTAAAACAAGCTAAAATATGAGACATGGCAAGTAAAAAACAAACAAACAAACAAACAAAAAACAAAACGACTAATATAAATCCAGTTCCACAGGACAGCAAAGACACTTCCAGTGCACCCAGAAAGTAGGACATTTCAAGCAGAGTAACTATTCCCTAGCAACATTTGTTCCAAAAACTCAATCAATATTCCAAAGGTCACTGCACAAGCCTTTTTTCCATGGGTTCATTTTGTCTTATTTATACCAGCGTTTTAATTTAGCACCTGTATAAATAAACAAGAGTGTATTATTGAAAACTTTGAAAGCTTAACTGATGTAACAATTAAATGACATAAGGAGGGTATACAATTTTTTACAAACAGTAAAAATTGTCAAACTGAGTCCAAACACTTCACTACCACAGAATAGTTAACCCAAAGTCAGTCTATTAACCTTTGCCATTCTGACTAAGTGCATTAGTTTATCTTCAAAGTTCATCGTTATTCCTGAACCAGTTTCTTGTCAGAATCACTCACTGTTGACCAGAGGTTTTCATTTTTTTGACTTGTGTGCAGTCGTTGTGCTTGCATGCTGTACGCCCAGGCCCTGTCCACTCCCTGCCCCTCAATCCTGCAAGGGCTCCAGTCTGGGAAGGGGAAACGGCCGGCCACTACTAAGGCATCATCCGGAAGCTCAACCTGCAACTTCTTCTGTAATAAAGACAGCTAGAAATACAGGAAAGACAGACATTACTCAAAAACCTACATGTAATACAAAGCCTACTTTCATTAATAGTGAAATTTCTAGATTCCTCATGAGACTTATCACCAAAAAATATGATGAACCAATTGTTCCAATCCAATCCAATTAAAATGTATACCTAAATTGACTAAAACAATATTAGATAATGCCGCTAAGGATCTCAATTTTCATTAACAAAATAACAAATAAAGTAAGCCATGGTAAACATATGATGTAACGTAAGTGTTTGAAAAGCATTTTAATGAGTCAACCTGCCTGAGGACCTTCAGTTTTAAGAATTTATTTTCTGTAGTGTCTATAAAAGGAGGCACCACACTCTCTTCCAGCTAAGAGCCATGTGTTCATAACAGCACCTACCACACTTGGAGCCAGAAACACTGTGACATTCTTGCATTTTGACAAGTCGACCTGAGATGGGATACAAAGAGGTATTTAAATAGACCACCAGATTTAGGCAGAAACAGTAGAGCAAGAAACATCCTAAACATTTGAAAAACAAAACAAACAGCTAAAACAAACAAACAAAAACTGGTGTTTTCATAATAATTTCTAAGGTAATGTAGTTTCTTATGTGTCATTGATGATATCAAAGAACTTCAGAATGGTTACAAGTGAAAGGTATATACATACCTAACCATTAGTGTATAAGCAAGCATAAAGTTTTTGTCTGAAGTAAACATTTCAGTCTTTATTGATTTTATTCAGTACTCACTAATATGCAAGTAAGATTACTTGTTAGATGTTTCCGGTTTTATGAATCTTTAAGCTTTGAATTTTAATCTACAGTTTTAGCTGCAATTAAACCTGAAAAGTTCTGCAAAATAAATAAAGAGAGACCAAAAAGCAATTTTGATTTGAGAGGTTTTCTCTGGTTATAGGTTCATACTGGCTGTTCTGTGTATCTTCAAGTGTGCATGAAATCCCAATGTCAAAAGGGGTTTGGTGGCTGTTGCAAACTTTGTTTATGCAACAGGCTTTGGTAGAATTATTAATAAGTGAAAAATATCAAACCTTCCAGAGATCCTCTTGTCTGTATGACACTTTTCCATAGCAACCTGCTCTCCAGGCATGAAGGCGAGCTAGCCGTACAAGCCATGGGTTGAGCTCATAGCCAACAGCTGGGCTAAAGCCATGGTGATAGGCTTCCAAAACCTAAATGGTTAAGGGGCACAACTTAAAAACTGATAATCCGTATGGTGAAATTATTTTTTTGTTAATACAATCATACTTACAATACGACCATCACCAGATCCCAAATCGACTAGATCTCCTGTTCGACCTCTCATCAAAGTCATCACATTTTTTACTTGTGCTTTGCTGGCAGGGATGTAGGGGACCTACAAGAACTGAAAGTTCAGAGCATATTCAAACATTCTCCTACAATTCCTAAGTTTTGAGAAAGATGCACATCAAACCTGTAGCTTCAGTGGCACCTTCCGAAAGCCAGGCTGAAGGACTCCAACCCACATGGCATAGACAGCAAGCCCAGTGCCAGCAGCTATCTGCAGAACACCCCAACCTCCAAGGTGTCTGGTCCTGAGGTCAGCCAACACCTCTTCTGGTGCGTCATCATCCATTTATGCAAGAAATGAGTGGGAGTCGAGCCCGATTCACAGTTGAAATGTTATATATCCATGAACGTAAAGGGTCCGCTTAAGATGTAGCCTTGGAGAAGATGAAGTCAATACGGTTTGGACAAGACCAGTTTATGACACTGTAGTAACAGATTACAGGCTGTATTTCTTCAATTAAAGAGCAGATGCAAAGAGAAGACTTAGTCCTACATTTGACAATTATTGATTAAAACTGCACCATTCAACGGACCGCACACTTACAATATAATCTTAACAATAATTATCTAGAGAAAAAGATGGATTCTATATACAGTTAAAGGTGGTTTGATGTTGACTCGTCTTTTTAAAAAGCATTTAGGACTGGTCAATCTAAATCACTAAACTCATTTTCTTTATCGTGTAATGTTATCTGAAATGATCCTATATATTTTCACAGCAACAGTAAAAGCAAACGCTTCCGTCCTGAACCTCAATAATCATAAAAAACTCCGGTTAATTTAAGCTTTAGAAACTAAAATCTTCAGTGACCTGAAGCAGAGAGCGGACATAAAACCAAGTCGGACAGGTCCATCAACGAAACGTTCCGTATTCTTGAATGCAGACTTTAGTTCCGGATTTTAATGATGAGCGTACTTATGTTTAAAGTAATAATGTAGCAGACCAGATAAGTGTCAAAAAGGCAATACAACAAATAGTGAGCTTAATTTGCGGTTATGTACACTCCCACCAAACTTTTATAACTTACTTACAAAAAAATAATACTTTGAGCATCTATCCAGGGGGCTGCTAATAAGATCCTACGGAGCCCCCTCGGGGACATGTGAATTTTTTTTCCTTTTGCGTCCCCTCGCAAAACACCTTTTCTTTACCTTTTTGAAGTAACGCAAAATGGTACTAGGCAACTATTAGTAACTGAACAGTTGCATTAATAACTGAATGCAACTATTCAGTTATTAAGCTCCAATCACATTACTGAGTCTTTAACACACTGGTTTGTTTTTATTTTGCATTTTGAGTTTGAAACTACGAAGATTTTGGTAACAGGAAATGGTGACATTTTTTTCAATTTTTGTGTCAGTCTCTGCAAAATTTAAAGGCCTCTACATGCAGATATAAAATGTGCTTAAAGTATAAAATTAAAATAAAATGAAATCAGAAATCATGTATTATAACTTTTATTTTAATCAGAGCACTCAAAAAAATCACTATCAAATTTTACTTAAATGGTTATTAAAAGTATTATGCTTCCAGTAACAAAGAAAGTTTTAACTATGAACAAGTCGACAACAAATGGTATAAAAGTGGAAAAGCTCATGTTCATTCAGTGTCTGCATCATCACTTATGATCCCATGCAGGTTGGCCCACTCTGATATCTTTCTGCGTCCTTTGGGAGCATTATTTTCCTGGTCACTGTCCGAATCTGAGTTCAGAGTCCGCTGATAAGAGGAGGGAGGTTCCTTATGTACCTGCATGGCTGAGGTGCCTCTGCGCCTCGGCCGACCTGCTTGAAAGATGTGTGGACATATCATCAGCTTATGTATTAAACAGCAGAAGAAGAACAATATTGGATGAAGACAAGTAATGCAACTGTTCTGTTATTAAAATTGGTAGAAGATATATAAAAAACTTGTCCTGGACAAGCAGATCTATTATGTGTATGTGAACAGAGTAAAATCCAAACTTATCAGTAAAACCCAAACTTGTCAGATTTTAAAAGTTCTGAGTGGCTGATCAGTGTGTCTGGATTTAAAAAAAACAACAACCAGCAAACAGTAATATTATAGTATGTATATTGTAGGTGCTTACTCATTTGGGGCTCCAAAAACAAAACAAAAATATTTAGAACGTACCTTCGGTGGAGATTATGTTGTCAACATCAAGTTCAGCCAATTCTTGAGCCTCCTCTCTCTTCAATCGAATTTTCTTACATTTCTCAATCGAGGGGTTACCTACACAAGAGGGGAATAGTCATTTTATTTTAAGGCAGTAATAATTTAGTGACTTCAGAAGTAAACCACCTTGAATCAATGTTAAATTCCAATAATAGGAATTTAATCAAGTCTACACGTTTTTCTGACGTGTTTTTCATTGACCAATGTCAAAAGGTAAGAAAAAATAGAGGTCCTGGCAGCTGAATAATATCTCAAATCATTAAGATTGTATTTTCCAGTACCTGAAGACACTGAATGAGAAAACAACCTGACAAGAGTCAGTCTGAGCTCATCTGCTGATCCTTTGACAATTTAAAACAGTTTTTATCCTTTCAAATGTTGTTGGCTTTTTTCTCCTCTCCCTCATTTGACGATAGATGCTGCAGATCAAAGCAAATCACAATACTTAACTGAGGCTGATGATGATTCTGCATTTTCAGTACAAACAGAGGTGTATATTTTAATTGTGGGACTGAAACAGTTAGTACAATGCAATTATATTTATTTCATCTAGGTGCTTGATCATGATTTTGTACTCTCGGTTAAAACGAGAGGCCCCAAGATTGAAGTCAGTGAAAAGACGAACATATCCCCACTGACCACGGAGCCCAAGATCTTCAAGCTCCTTCTTTAGAACAGCCACTTTGGAGCGAGTGGAGCGGCAGCCGTCCAATAGCTTCTTGTAATTCCTCCTCACACCACAGAGGGCAATGTAGCGTTTGAGTCGGACGACTGCTTTGTCTTCATCCTGCAGGAACAAGAAGACAATTGAGGAGATGAAGACTTGTTTTAACATAAAAAAAAATAAAAAAAATCACAATACTGCAGCACCTTCTTTAGTCATCTTACAATCATAAATTACAAAAAAAAGTCTGAAATTGTGAACATTCCGGTTGAGATTTCTTGCATCAGCGAAGAGCTCACCTTTGGGCAACAGTTCTTCTCATCTGTCTTCTTTGTTTTCTTTTTCGTCTTTACATTTGTATTTTTTACTGGGTTGCTTTTCTTATCTTCGTCCAAAGATGGCAGTGATGATGAATCCGAGTCTGAATCATTTTTATCTTTTGCATTTTCTTCTACTTGGCACAAGGGCAAGACATTCAACAGCATTAAGCCTAATCATATTCATGTGTAAATGGTAAATCATAGGCACTGATGTTGAACAGTTACCTTTTTCACTTGCAGAAGAATCATCATCCTCGATTTTTTCACTTTTCTCCAACTTATTGTCTGAATCACTTTCACTCTCTTCATCGCTCCTTGGTGCTTTTTTTCCTCCACTTGCATCGATGCGTCTTGCCTCTTTCCTCTCAGCAGCGTTGACCTTCTTTTTCACCTTTTTCTCCGGACTTGGACTCTCATTCCCGTCCTCTTCTGACTCATTTATCTCTTCATCTGAAGACTCATCGCTTGTGACACGGCGCTTAGCTTTTTTGCTTTTCTCATGGTCTGATTCTTTTGCTGCTTCTTTATTTTTAGACTGAGATCTAATTTGTTCTTTGTTTTGACTTCCTGCTTCACGATTCTGCGCATCTTCAGAATCTGTCATAAACATCATAAAGAAAAAAAAGTCTTGGTGACATTTCATCATGTAAGTCACAGTTGATGTATCCATATTGTTTAAGCTCAACCCCCAAATATCTCAAAAGACAGCATGCAAAATTACTCTGAAACATAGATTCCCTGTTATGCCCAGAACATGGAAATTACGTCCATCATTTCTAATTAAAAGAAAGTCTTCTGGTAGTTATAAAGATTTAATCTATTGTGTTGTAGCAACAGTTGTTTAAGTGAGACGAGACTCCTAAAATGATTCAAATTAGATAACCTGGATGTAAGTCTGCTTCGTGGGCATCCAACAACTACAGTAAAATCAATTTACCTTTAAATGATGATCACAATACAAGATCAATGTTCTTCTAGAGAGATAAAGATCCACCAACCTACATCTTCAAATCTGCCAGGTGGACATTTTCCACATTAAAAATTGTCAGTGTTTTTTTTTAAACTTATGGAAGCACACAGTAAGGATTTCCACAGCAGCATGACAAAAAAAAAAATGCCATTGATAGATGTTTTGGTTTTGCATGCAAGGTGGAGCTACTTCAGCTTGCGGAGCTTTGGTTCACACTAAATCAGTAATTTCATGTTGTAGCAGTGTGTGTATTCTAACACACTCTGAGAGTTTAGTTTTGCTGTGACATATTCTCTCAGGCCATGAATGAAAACATAACTAAAAAGACAGTTCGCTTAATTGGTGATGATGGACTTATGACGGTGCTCTTAATATCATGCAGGAGATTCGATGTTAACAAATCAGCAGCATGTTCATGACTTAAATGTAGGCTATTTAAAAAAAATACATAATTCATACCTGATGATGAGTCAGACTGTTGTGATCGTGATTTTTTTGGTGTGGATTCAGTTTCATCTTCACTTTCCAACTTCTCTTTTTCTCTCTCTCTCTTTCTTTTCTTCTGTGTTTTTTTGGTTTCCGGCTCAATTTCACTCTCATCATTTTCCTAGGGTAGACAGAACTCGTTTACTGCAAAAAGAGAAGTACAAATACTTCCTACAGTATTTTACACATGAACAATAAAAACACACAGCTAGCACGTTAGCAATACAGGTGTTCTGCATCAGGAAACATTTGCCTTCAATTTTTTGCTTCACAAACTTGCAACAAAAAAAAAAATCTTATTTATGAAGCAAACAGTTAAAGGCTTGACAACCCTTTTGTTACAGATACCTGCATTTTCATGAGTTCTTCCTGCACAACTTGTTTCATGAATTGTTTTGCTTCAGAGCTCAAGGATTCACATCCTGCTTCAGCCAGGTATCGTTTTTTCAATATTCCTAAGGTCAGTGTGCTGAAACAAAATAAGAAAATAAACACGTTTGATGAGCAGGATGGAACAACTTACAGGTGAATCTATGATTCCACTGAATGTTATGTTTAGAGGTATTCTACAAATGATCTGAGCACAGATTAGTCTTTTTCTTAAATGCACACAAAAAGTAAAAACATTTTGTCAAACATTTTTGTAATATGTAAAGAAGATATAGAAATCTTAAATATGCAATAAATAAATACATTGTACATACACAAATATTTGCAGTTTTTGCCAGGACACTCAGAAGCAAGCTGCATCTGATTTTAACTGATCTTTGATGACATACAATGTAAGGTTTCACAGCTGATAAATGCAAATCAGAACAAAAACTAAGGAATAAAGTTAAAGACATTTGCTTCAGACCTCCAACACTGCTTTGTGTCAAAGCACAGATCTTGGGAAGGATTAAAAACAAACAAATACATAAATAAATAAACAAACATGTCTGCACCCTGAGCATCCCAAAACAAAAAATCTGGTTTGGAACCACCTGGAAGATAGAATATTTATTTATTTTTTCAAACAAACAAGAACTGTCAAAACAACATACCATTGTGGTAACTGATGATTATTGTATGTCCCAAATATTTAGAATTTTCAATTTATGGCAGATTAGCACGAATTTTATTCTTTATTGTTTCACGATGGGGAAAATCAGGTGTACTGGCAGCAAGTTAAATATTTAAATGCATATCCAAACAGATATTAAAGGAAAAACTTTTGAGAAAAAAACCCCAAAACAAAACAGAGAGAAACGTGGGTCTACTTCTGCAGTGACAACACTTTGTCACTAGAGGGGGCCGATTGATCTGTACGGAACAAAATAAACCTTTTTCAAAGATGTAGTTAGATCAATCAAAACTACAATGAGGACAAGTAGCTCAGCTTATTACGACTGAATCGTAAAAAATTGAAAACACAATCATGCTGAGTCACCAATTGACAGAGCAGTAATGTGATTGACTCTAAGCCACTAAAAGAACAAAGTGCAGTTGGGAGCCTCTCTAAATGACCATTTTATCTTTGTGTTCGGCGTCAATGTTAAAGCAAACATCTCATCAAAATGAAGCGACAGACAGAACTCGTGGCGATGAATAATGACCACAAATGGCGGGTATTTATTTTTAATGTTCGTGTTTTTCTTTATGATAATAAGTTAAACGTACCAAAGGTCCGGCTCATCAAGGAGTTGACCTTCTATAAACCTCCTGATGTTGGTTTTCTCCTTCTCCGACGCCATTATTATCAGCTCCTCTGCTCCCTGAGTTTTTGGCGGCTGGTCTCTCCAACTTAGGCGGAAGTGACGTAGATCAACCGCGCCCCCTTTTTACAAATAAATGGAGGTTTTGACGTTTGAGTCTCCATGCAGACCTACTTTTTCTGCCACCAGCATCAAAATACTAAAATATTTCAAAAAACAGAAATATTTCTTGCATAAAGTGAAACTGATAAATCAGATAGTGATAAACTCCAAGCTTTTTTTTTTTCTTGTGAATTTGTTTTGGCTTTAAGATAATGAAGACCCAAATTGTTTTTGTGCTAAAAGATGCTGTTTTGGGCATTTAAAAGACCTTTTAAAAGCACAAAATTACAAAGTCTTAGAACACAGTGAACAATTGAAAATTGTTGTCATTCTAATCAGCTGATTAAATAAATAGAAACACCTGCTAAGTTTTCCTGAGCTGTTGAGTCTCTCTCTCTGGGTCAGTAATCTCCCTAATCATGAGGAAGACCATGCTGAAAGGTCACTGCTAATGAAGATGGTTGTTCACACAGCTCTGCATCCAAGTATATGAACAGAAAACCAAGTGGAAGGATGAAGGCTGTAGGGAGAAAGTATCCTATCAACAGGGTGATCCTCAGCCTTGAGAGGATTGTCAAATCCTTTCCAGAAGAGCCACTGCAGACAAATGCTAAAAATGTCCTACAAATGTCAACATTCTGGATCGCATTGGCAGAATAACTCTTCATTTAAGATGTTGACAAACAAGCTAATATTGAACCTAGGGGAGAGACCTATCCTCACCTTTCTGATACCTCCTAGCATCTTTAAACACTTCTGAAATTACAGGAGTGGATAAACAACTTCAAAAAAATAAAAAATTAGGTGGCTCATACTCCAGATGCTGGAGAAGGTAGAGTGAAAACTTTTTTCAAGCTATCCCAAATGCATAAAGCTGGTCAACCACATTTAAGGTTTATATCCAGTTTATATTTTAAAGGAAAAAAAAAAAAAGTAAGCAGAAGACGGATTTGATAAGCAATTTATTTCAAACATTTCCAGGACGGAAGTGAAATTAGTGCATTTTCCAAGGTCATTCACACATACCATTTGCATTCAATGTGTTTTTTCCTTCTTATTTTTATGAGTGCTTAGGTTACCACCAGTGATAATTAGAAAAAAAGAAATAGTACCTTAAACCCTCCTGAAATGACAGTCAAATCTAGTTGAACTTCTTACAGAATGCATTACTTATTAATTTAAGCTTAATCCTGTGATTTGGTGTAAGATAAAGCAAACACGAGAGAACATGGCTCAGAAAAACATACCAAGATAACAGTCACAGGTCATTTTTTAACACTGAACTAAAGCCAGAAGTTCAGGTTGCATTAATCTAGAGGAGCAATCTCAAAATCTGCCAGGCGCAAGAGAGTGCACTCAACAGCAGCAGAATCAAAACTCACTCAAGCATCAGGTAACAAAGACTGATCTACAAAAGTTAAATACCAAACAATAAATTAAGTTTATAAATTAATAATAATAAAAAAGAAGAAGCTTGAAGAAGCATTTATAATAATTTAAACACAGAAAACGGAGCTGCTCAACAACTATAAACATGGCTTTTCTTTTTAATTCCAGTGTTAACTTGTCGAGGCTTAACTTCACCGACTTTTGTCAGTCAGGCTCTGTGCAGCAGTACCATCATCGTCCAACAGAGAAACCAGACGCATCACATCTTGGATAAATGTTTCCTACATATTAAATACAGACAAAGCTGCCAGTTCAAACTATTTACACCCAAATAAATGGCAGGTGGTGTGCTCTATGAGATAAATGGGTTTTGAGGCTCATTCAGTATCATGCAGGAAGGTATTAACATTTGAAATATTATTCTACCAGTTTCAGTCACAGCTGACTTAATACACTTTCTGTTGAAATATGCAAATTGATTTGTTGTAAACATCACTAAACTCCCTCCTCACTTAAAAATCAATCAACAGCCCGACCTCTGCAAGTGCTTAAAGACATTTCATGAAATAAGTAAAGACTTCAATATTGCTGTGAACAAAGAATGTTTCATTTTGCAAACGTACAAAAAAATAAAACAAAACATTGAATTCTTCCAAGACATATTTTCCGTCACAGTTAGTCCTTGTACACAGTTTGCTGGCCGTGTCCTCTCTCGTCATGCATTATGTGCCTCCTTACGTGGATCCTGCGTACCCGTCTGTCCCCTCCCGCTGCACCCTCTTCCTCTGATTGGCCGGCTCCGAGCGATGAACCCGAGCCTCTAGAATCTAAAAGGTGCAACCCTCCTGGACCGGACCGGTTGTTCTCATAGATGAGGATGTTGAGCGTTTCTTCAAATATCCGCGCCTCGGGAAACTCAACCTTAAAACATGAATATGATTTATTTTATATGAATGTCCCCTTGTTTATTTCTATGATGTTCCCTGTTTTTTCAAATTACTCTTTTAAGTAATGCTTTGTTCACTTTTACTTTGGAATATCGAAGTTCAAGGGGGCTAAATACAAAAGTGAACCAAACTTAAGATTTTTGTGTATATATAAAAAAAAGATTCCCTTGGAATCAAATACTACTTTGCCTTGAGTGGTACTCAGTATAATGATTTCATTGCAAGAAATCCTTATGCTGTACAATTAATCAATGTTTGTACTTGCAACATGACAAAATGTGAACATTTTCCAAGAATTGAACAACAATTTTAACAACTTATTTGTGACTTATTTAGTGAATAAGTTGTTGTCCAGAATATGTAACAACAGCTTTGAAACTTGTCACACAAAGCTTACTTTGGTCTGCTTCTTCTCCGTTGCGTACACAATGGAGGTGCAGCATACTTCTGCGATCTTGCGGCCTTCGCCGTAGAAGGACCAGCAGCAGATCTCGTCACCGAGCACGTCTTTCACAAACAGGACACGGTTGTTGAATCGGAGCACCAGTTTGTCAAACAGCTCGATGTTCTTCAGCAAGTTGTCATCGGAGTTACTAGGACGAAATGACAAGATGGAGAATAATTAGAATATTCAGCAATGTACATCTAGAAAAAACATGTTTAGTAAGTGTTTTTACCTAGTATATGAATACTTGTTGTTTCCCCTGTTGTTTTGGAGCTTGACTACTGGCTGCAAATTGAAAACAAGAATACATGAGGCAAAGCAAGATCAGATTTCTGTAATGACTCAACAATATAAAAAAATGGTTAAACTGGAAATTATTTTAAGTGGCAGGGAACAGTAAAGTGTAAAAAATATATTTCCCATAGGATTTTATTTTTCATTATTCATCATTTAGATTTAAGTTACTTTTCTACATGTAGCAATCATCTTCTGCTCTTCTTTGGCTGATGTGATCATTGGGATGCGGCAAACGCTTTCGAAAATATCTTGTTGTTTCTAAAAGTAAAAGACAAAAAAGAATGTTTTTACATATGCAAGAAAAAGATGTGTACATTTCTTCATTTAAAATAATGTGCATGAGAAATGCACAATAAGCAAAATCATTCTGTAAAAATTAATATTTAGTAAATATTTTAGGAATTCCCTCAAGCTCATCATAGAAAAACAACAAAAACAAAAAACACTCAAGACTTCACACTTACAAAACCTAAGTAAAAATTGATCCAAAAAAAGAATGCCCAGAACTTAAAATTACAACTCATCATTACATTTCTAAGAGGCCGGAGCAAATTTTCTAAGAATTTCTTCTACTCTATAATCCTCCAATAATAAGAAATGGAGACAAAACAATAAGAGCTATGTAAATTTTAAAATAATTAACTAAAAGCTGCTTGTTAGTTATTAGAACGTAAAATAATAATTTTCATGTGTTACTAATTATTTGACCATCTATTACATTTTGTCAAAATAAAATTTTATTTAAATTGTGAGTATGTTTAATTGAAGCTAACTAAACTGATTAGGACAGATTAAATGAGCTCATTGACATACTTGTTTAAAATGAATTTCAAACTAATTTAAAAATCTCAATTTTTAAATGTCAATAACTAACCATGTAAAAAAATCTCAATTCTCCTAATTACCTGCATGGCATTGAGGCACTGTTGGATTAGTCCTTGTACCCTGTAGAACTGGGCCTCTTTTAGGATCTCATCAAGTTCTCTGTGGTCTTCTGGAAGTGGTACCGAACCATCTCGCAGGAAGTTCAACACCAATCCAAAATGTCGACCGGACCTTTCCAAAACCACCCAACCTAAAGCAACAGGAACATTTCTCTCAGAGAGTGATATGTCTCTGCAAACTGCAGAAAAATAAACAGGGAAAAGCGTAGACTGCAATATAGTTCCAACATATTTTTTTTTCACATCGATCCAGCAAATAAGGACATTAGACAATACCATGATCCACTGACCTTCAGAGTCTATGGTAACATTTGTTGCGCCAGTGCAAATGCTTCGCAGAAGACTGTCTTCTTTGCTTAGCGTCTGGATGGTTGTATAATGAAGGGAGCCGCCAACATTTAACTTGACGTACTTGCTCCCCATCAGACCCGGATTTCCGTGCCCCTCTGTGCCGTGGCAGGCAGGCTGGAGAACGGCAGACTGGACGGAGTCGGCATCATGACCGCCGACTGAAGCCTCCGCAGACATGGGGCTGTGGGCTCGCTTCCCGACTGCAGTACAGAAGAACGGGTGAGCTTATTTCCTCCATCATGTTCAACCACAAAAACAAAGCAAAAAAGTCTCAGTGAAATTTGGATGATGACACTACTTTAGCTGTTTTTAGGACTTTTTTTCCAGGTTAAGAAGTCGACATTTTAAGATCATAATTACTTAGATCTAACATAAAATATACAGATAACTTCAATTATATAAATTATCCAATATTTTGATAATAAAAAAATAATTCAAAGAAGCATTTGTACAACAAACAAGAGCAGATAGTTTCTAACATTACAGTTGTGTTTAATTTTGACCCTGAAAGATACACTTTTGTGAGACATCATATCAAAACATTTCTGTATACAATATAATAATTTCTTACTTGATCTACCTCAGTTAAATTACTGTCGTTTTAAACTGTACAAAAAATATCATCATGTGGCCTAATCAGTCGTCACATCTGAGTAAAGTAAAAGCCTTCACATCCTCTTCATCGGAATACATTTTTATCTGTAATTGTGATTAGTTTTTTTAGACAATTTTTGAAGTCTCGGTCTTCATTTATGTGAAAATTAATCTCTTAGTTAAAATGTGCACCTTAGTTTTCTGCGCGAACAAGAACAACATCGCAGAACCAACTGATTAGATACGAATATATCAAATGTAAACACGCAAATAAATCTAGACTATTTATATTAGAACATACTCACCACGTTGAACATCCAAGGGTGCTAAAGAGTGAAAACTCCTTCTGACCGTAGCGACAATATATCAGGGAATTAATATCAGCTAGCATAAACAAGCTAATTAACGCGCAAGCATTTACAACGCAGCTAGCAGCACAAACATCATTCTTTTTTCTTCTACCGCAATCACCTTCCCAAATAAACAAGCTAACCACAGCTACTCTATTTTCATTCACTTCATGCTAACAGATGTATTTTTACAGAGTACCACTTCATCTGTGGTGAACAGTCTAAACGAACTCAACAAAAAACAAAATTACTATGTCAACCGACGCGATCCCCATTGTTTGAGACGCTGATTATCAACTAATGCTAATGTGAGAAGCTAAATAGGTCACTCGGAAATGAAAAACAAGACAATCCTCTTCCGCTGCTTTCCGCAGTTCGGACGTGATTTACTGCCACCTGCTGGCTGGTCTTATTAACGTCAATCTTCAGGCACCGAGTCTGTTATGATTCTCGAACCTTTTTGTATGTAAAATCAGAGGAGAAAATACGTAGAACTCATAATAACATCAAATTTGTGAAAATTCTGCTCTGAAAGTCTCTTGACATGAGGAAGGTAATTTGTAATTCCGTGGTGAATTTAGGTTTCCCTGCCTCCATGTGGTTAAAATGGGAAACTGCAACATCATCACTCCGTCCGATCCTTTCTGACACCAAATATTACTTGTCAATGATTTGTTATCTATGTTCCAGGACAGAAAACAAATACAAAACACACATTTTTTTTTCTGGTTTCCAAATATAACACAACAAAAACCTATGTATCATAACAACCCTGACAAAAGGAGAGACAAGATAACATGTCATTCAAGTATATGGCAGATATACCTACTTTGACTTTTTTCTTCATCATCAAAACAATAGTTGCTTGCTTAATCTTGCTCATCTACATGAAACAACAATAAAGTATGAATTTTATGAGGTATAAAACAACTCAAAATAAATGATAAAGTTCTAATTATCATCTTGCCACAAGATAGCTATGGGGTAAAAAAATATATATTTCTGTATTTACAGTCAGAAAACTGGAGTGAATTTTGTTTCTTTTTTCCACATCTTTACCAGGAATGTCAGCCATTAAGTATAGAACAGAATATATGGAATAAATCCATAAATCATTTTAATGTTTCTTGCAGTGTCAAAAAGATACTACTTTATTTACTTATTGATATTAAATGCATGTTAACGTGAAGTCCCAGTTATTTCGAAAATGAAAACACACTTGCGCACTCGTTACACCATTCAACAAAGACTTTATTTTCAATTCTGCAAATGGTTCACTGTCTTTAAAAGTGTATTTATATATGAAGCAAAGAAATGTTGCTGATGATCATAGAAGGTTTAAGCCAACAAATCAACAGTCTCCAGGAATCCCTCATTTGGCCCAGTGAATGTCTAAAATTCACCGTTCAAACAATCATTTATAAATAAATACATAATGCGCATCACAGCAAGCGGCAAGATTTAAAGTTTCTCATCAACGTAGTGCATACAACATCAAATTTGATAACAATGATACCTGCCAGTAACTATAATGTTAATGTAAGAGATTGAGCAAAAGCAATATAATTTACAATCAGTGCATGCTCAAAGCGTTATGACATTCATGTCCTCACCTTTGCTTATACAGTATGTGGTGCGACAGTTTGCAGATGACGGCAGAAACAGCGAAGAATAAAATAAACACTGCCTTTGAAAACACTAATCCAACAACGGATAAAACACTAAGAGACATTAAATTATTTAACATTAGATTTTGGCACAGAACTGTCATTATGTGTTTATAATGAAAATATATAGCCTCCTGCCACCAAGTGTATATATTAAGTCAGATATTTACATTCAAATAGTGTGAATTTGTTACAACCTGTGAGAAAAAAAGGAAGAAGTTTATTGTTTTAAAAGAGTTTTTTTTCTCCCTTTGCTGCGAAACTCTGAAACATAATAAGAGTTGCTTTAGAAAGTAAAAACAAATATTAAGCATTTTTTTATTGAACCATGAACATAACTTTTGATTGTTTCAACTAAAGTATTGCCATGCTCTCTAATGTTTTAGCTTTGTAACAAAATAATAACTGAAAAAAAGAATTCCCCCTTTTCTCATTTACATTTTTGTGCCTACAATTATTTTCCATTTTCTTTTAGAAGTCAATTTCTTATCCTTCATAAGGCACCAGTCCTAATAACACAGAAAGTTACACTATTACCCGGGTCTCACTTTTGGCAGATAAAGCACAATCAATATAAAGTAGTTACAAACTGCGATGGTAAAAAAAAAAAAAATCAACACAAAAATAAAGGAAAAGCAAGTACTATAGGGGGAGTGAGGCCTTTTCATACAAAAAGACTTTGTCTTCTTCAAGAATTTAATGCTTCTGTGGTTTTATTTCTCACCCAGAAATGCTCTTCTTCAAATGGAAACTTCATACTCCCGTGTGTCCTGTGAACATATTAGAAACAAACGGATTACTTTAAGCTTTGAAATTGGGATCAGTTAGAGACTGAGAGCGAAATGAACGAATTTTATTGAGTGATGGCTCCTTTACTTACTCCTGCTTCATAAAGAGGGTTGTTGAAATCTGACTCGACTGTAATGGGACTGTAGGAGTGTGTGTGTGAGAGAGATTTCCAGAAGAGAGGCTTCCATTCTAGTCTGCAGATGCTACAAGAGACAGATGATAAACACATCAAGCGCTGAGTGAAAAAACTGAGGCACAGAACAAAAAAAAAGAAGTCTCAAATCTAAGAATAGTCCAGAATGGAAATCCAAATCTATGAAAACCCTGAGTAAAAACTGTATGGATAACTGTATTATAAAGTTATATAAACATTTTATATATATATATATATATATATATATATATATATATATATATAATAATATATATATATATATATATATATATATATATATATATATATATATATATATATATATATATATACTTTAAGCTTTGATATATATATATATATATATATATATATATATATATATATATATATATATATATATATATATATATATATATACTTTAAGCTTTGATATATATATATATATATATATATATATATATATATATATATATATATATATATATATATATATATATATATATATATATAGTAACCTGCTTTTATGTTGAACTGAAAAGCAACAACTGCTGCCAAAATAAAATAACTCATATTTATTTATTTATCACTAACATGTACTTATTATTTTGAATTTGATACCTACACCTTAATTTTAATCTTCTGCTTTAATAACATGGCCTTTTAACCTTTAACTTTAATTAACTGCATAACTTACTTTGTATAGTACATGTAAATGCCTCCAATCAGGAGGATGACCAGAATGATGGGCAGAATAATTGCCAAGGCGATGTTTTCACTCAGGATCTGACGGGATGGCTCGAAAGACTGGGACACTGCAAAACAATCAACGTCAATTGTGATGGTTTTCTGTCCTCATTAATGCAAGGTGTACTTCACTTGTGGTAAAAATACACCTAAAGAAGCACTTTTAGATCCCACAGACAGCAGCTTTTAAATAACGTAGGAATTGATTTTAAATGCACTTGACATGAGAAATCACCTTCTGACTTGTGGTCATCCAAAAGCTCCTCAAGCTCCACTGAGAACAATAACACAAGAGCTCATCAGTTTGAGAAACAAGGCACATTGAAGTTCTTTACATGATAACATCTGGTAATAAAGAAAAAAAAATCATTTTTTTTTGAGAAAAGAAAAACTAGATGTAGAAGGTGTGGCATGAAAAGCCACAAGCAGCAAAAATAAATATTGGGAGTGTTACAACCTTTACCTTTGCAAAAGGGTGGCGGGCTGTTCCACTGAGATGGGTGTCCAGGAACACACGTGATAATGACCTCTCCAATGAGTTCATAGCCCTCATAGCAGAAGAAGCGCAGGGTTTCCCCAGCCTGGTAGCTGTGTTTGTATAAAGTTTGGTAGCCGTTGTCAGGGACTCCAGGGTTTGGGCATGGGTCATATTTCACTGTATATAACATACAAAAACACTCTTACTGTTAGACTGACATCAACAGCCATCATGAAAAACGAGCAATGTTGGAGAAGAGACAAAAAGAAGCCTTACAGACACACTTCGGGCTGCGATCGCTCCATTTAGGGGTACCAGTGTCACGACCGTAGCAGGAGATTTGACTGGGCCCTTCGAGTTGATAACCCTGATTACAAGAGAAACGCACGACTGTCCCCAAAGCAAAACCCGCTTCGGGACGCACAGAGCGTGCCCCGTTCACCACCTCTCCTGGATCAGGACACTGTTGCACTGTGAGGGGTAAAGTCAGACACAAATGACACAAAATAAACCAAAAATATTTTAAAAATCTGCACAAGAAACTTTCGGAGGAGTAGTGTCCTATTCTCAGTCATGTCTGGTTACACAGCATGCTTTTTCAAAATGAAAAAGACTAAAGTAAGAGAGAAGGAAGATCATTTTCTTTTCTAAGTGTATTAACACACTAGCTTTTTAACTTTAATACATAAGTTTTGATAATTTCTATTATCCTTTGACCTTTAACACATGTGGGTGGGGCGCTGCTCCAGGACAGGTCCCACTGGCAGGTGATGATGTCTGAGCCGCTGATGTCATAACCTGGCTGGCACTGATAGGTCAGGACGCTGCCTCTCACAGGAGAGGAGTGGGATGAGCTGATCCAGCCAAACTCGATTTGAGGAAGAGTGGGACATGTGTCGTTTGATTCAACTTCTGCAGAGAGAGAGAGAAAATTGGTGAAAGCAAATAAATTTTTACTGATCAGTGAAACAAATCCAAACAAACTTCATTTGGTAAAGCAAATTCGATTTCCAGTTCACTCACCACGATAATGAATAAGAAACCCCTGGCTGAGGATGAAGCTGGAATCGTCCGGGTCGCTCTGAAACTGAATGGTGACCTCTGACCCCCCAG